TAGTATTTTAATGCAGTCTAATAAACATAATGCACATACATACAGAAGAACATGAAATAATTGTAAAAACAAAACGTCTCAACACAAAGTGCAAAGTTCAAACTGATTTGAGTTTTCAAATTGAACAAATTTAGCACATGTGATGCTTTTTGTTCCACAGAACTTTACTGGCTCAGCAGCAGAGGTCACATACTCCGGAAACATCTCAGGCCTCAACAGAAACAGCAGCAGCACTGGAGAATAATCATTTACATTTACAGTGTCTGAGCGTCTTATTCTGTTTTATCTTTCAAAGACAGCAGGAAACGTTCAAATAAACAAAACAATGAGGAAGCTGCTGAGAACAAACAAATATAAAGTGGAGCAGCGGTCAGATATCAACAGAGCAGCAGCACTTCCTGTCTCAGCAGCTGTCAATCAAACACACAGATACTTCCTGGTATGTTTAGTGTCTTAGTTTCCCCTCTCAGACAGACAGACAGACGGACAGACAGACAGACAGTCCTCCAGGAGCTGAGGGTCGTTTTCAGAATGCAGCTCTTCATCCTCCTCTTCCTCCTGTCCCACGTTGCCGTGGTGACAGCAGTGGCCGGTTGCCACAGCGACAGGGACAAGGACCACCGGCCAAGGGAGAACTGCACAGCGGCCGGCTTCAGCAACGTCCCGGCGGGATTCGAACCCTCGACCAAGGTAAAGCCACGAAACACCAAGTTAATTGTAAAGTTTAGATGTGCAGAGGTCACAAGTAAAAAACACATTTAGTCATGGAAGTAAAAATAATATTTGAGGTTCTATGAGGATACGTGTCACTTTTTAAAATCACATTTTTAAATTGTTAAGACGAACAAAGAAATATAAGATGATAAATCTGCTTCAGGACATATTTTAAATTAATCACAGCATTAAAAACTTATTTGGATATTACGACACATTAAAACAATTTAAGTTATCACATTATAACGATAGAAGTTTACAAAGTTAACGTACACTTAAAGCCATGGCAGCAGTACCGGTGTTACACATGTCCTGGAAAACCTGGAAATTTAGAGACAGTCAGGGAAACACCTGGAAATTGATTAAAATGAGCCAATATCCTGGAAATAATCTGGTGTCCTTGAAATTAATTGTTTAATGTAATCTACGCCTTAGAGCACTCCCGCCCTAGATGTTAAACAGAGTGCGTATATGATCTTCCATCATATAATTTTCACCCCTTTCTCAAACATCCATGAGAAGTTATCCATTTTCTTTGTATCCTTCTTTAGTTGAATTCATGTTGATCTGGCTGAAGATCTGACTGTCATCGTGTTTTTTCTGTGTGAAATGCTGCATGATTTTATTATTTTATGACCATATCCTGTTAAAGCTCACTGTTCGTCCACAACTTGCAAAGAACTTCCGAAACAGATCAGCCAATCAATCATTGTAGCTCCACAACAACAGTGTACCATCAAACCTCCTTTATGCTGTGAAAATGTGCACAAAGTAATGTCTGTTACACATTTAATGTTTAACAAAAGTGAAGGAATATAAACAGATAAATTTGCAGGAAGTTGTGACAGCAGCACGGCATATGAACTATACATTACACTCAATTAAAATGTGGCAAATTGCATTTAAACACTGTAAATGACATGATTACGAGGTTTTCTGAGGTCCCTTATTGTCACACACTGGTTCACACACGATTTACAGTCTAAAGAGCTGAACTCATCCCTGTGTTCAAGTGTTTGACTGACAGGAGGAGACCACAGCGGAGACACAAGCTTCCTGTTCTACACTGATAAGATGACAGTTTAACAGGAAACCCTCACAGTTTTAAATATTCTTCTACTCTCTTTCTGGTTTTTAGGTTCTGTTGTTTCCTAACAACCTGTTCTCCAGTGTGTCCTGGTCCTCTTTCCAGACCTTTACGGACATCTATGAGATCGACTTCACAGGCAACAAGGTGTCTGTCTGCACCACGCTCCTGAAAAAATATAAATACTGAATGTGTATTAGTTAAAGCCAGTTGGTATCAGTATTCATTCTCTCATATTGTTGTGTGTTTCCTGACTTTCAGGTTCCAGAGGTGACCTCCAGCGTGTCTCCGATCCTGCCCACCCTCAGTGTTCTCCGGCTGGGGTCGAACCATATTAAGTCCCTCTCTGACGGTTCCTTCACCGCCTGTCCAGGTCTGACTGAGCTCTACCTGAACAAAAATGCCTTGGACTCCCTGAGCGACCACACCTTCTCTGGACTCAGCAAGCTGGAGGTCCGTGTTAACATGCTGTGATATGATGAAGGAACTGTGAAGGCTGCATGTCAAAAACTTAATAATCATGGAGGTTGAACAGTGGATGAATGTTGTGAATGCAGCGTGTTAGGAGGTTAAGATGGAGGCGCTGTTTTACAGAAACTTCCTATTTTAAGCCTTAAGTTAAGAGAAGATAAGATTTCTCCCATTTGGTATTACAGAAGCAAATCAAACTAACTTTAGGGATCCTATTTTCTAGGTTAGGAAATCCTAAATACTCAATCCAACAACGCTTATTAGCTTTAATGTCTGTTACCTAGCAACCAATGCTAGTTTTCTCATCTTGCTCAAGTCCCAAGAAAGAGCGCTGAGCTTTAAAGCCAATGTGACATAGTGGCCAAACCATGTAATTACAGTAATGGCGTCAGTCAGGTGACGCACAGCAGCCCAAAAAGACTTTTTCCCATAAAGAAACAAACTGAAACATACAAAAACTGGAGCAAAATTTAATCTTCAGTTAGGATAAGAACACTGACTTATATTAATCTGTTATGGCTTTTCCCCCTAAAATACTTCACAGTTACTGCAAGTTACGATCATGATTATGTTAGAGAGCTTATTTCAGCACTTTAATCATAATCAAAACCAGTTACGAATGTGTTCTCTCATGTCAGTTTCTCTGAGTTCTTAGTTTTCTTACCAAAGAACCGCAACCGTCGTCTTCTGACTGGCTGTCTTACCTTCTAGATCCTGGATTTGTCGTCAAACCGTATCAAGGTGCTTCCCGAGCTCATGCTCCACCCCCTCTCTGCCATAGAAACCCTCTACCTGGATAACAACAAGGTGAGAGAACACACGCCGAGAGCATCTGAAAGCATTTTAGCACTCAGATAAAGGTGGTGTAAACGTCATGAAAGATTACCGGTGGTACAAGTTCAGCAGTTCGAGCTCTGGTCTAAAACTCCCTCTTTTTCATTTCAGATCAAGGTGATGCCGGATGATTGGTTCAGCCAGAAGGAGGAGGTGCCGTACCTTTACCTCTCAGAGAATCTCTGGGTCTGCTCCTGTTCCCTTGGTTACTTGCGAAGGTACATTGACGACTACGAATTCAACATCTACGTCCGGGATGGCCCGATCATCAGGGGCGAGGCAGAGAGTGTGGTGAGTACCCATAATATCCTTAGAATATTTCTGTAATCATTCAGTAGTGTCTGTGATGCTGGAAATACACTCCCAACCCATCCCTAACCCCTTTGGTAAACAGTAAGACCGGTTCTTCTTAAATTCAGATACTCGAGCATACTTGAATGTTACCACAGTGAAAGAAAAGTAATAGCAGTCTGGGAACTGATGGTATGATTTGGAAAGTCAAGAGCAACAGTGGGAGTGCCTTTAAAAGCTCTTACCTTAGAGACGCGAGAGGTTGTACCTTAGGAACTAGGACAGAGACTGTGTGTAATACATATTTATGGTTATCTGTCCCCAGATGTGTGACTCTCCACAGTGGCATAGGGGTAAACCTGTAATGAGTCTGGAAGAATCTGATCTGTGTTCACCGACAGAATCGGGTCCAACGGGAGACTTCTACCCACAAACAACTACATACGGTCCTCTTATGATCCCAGCTACAACCAACAAATCACCTCCTCCTCCCACTACTGCTGCTTCTACTCCTGCTACTACTTTTTTTCATATCACCTCTACGACTTTTATTCCAACCACTGCTCCTGCTCCCTCTGCTACAGCAATCGTAGAAGAACTCCACACTGTGTACCACAGAGTAGTCACATGGTCCTGGTATCAATCCTTCACCAGATTCATTGAGTGGTCGGATTATTCAGGGTCAGACGTGAAAGGTACGATGCGGTTGGTTGAGCTGCATACTCCTACTTCCTCTCCTCCCACTCTCCATACCGTCAAACCCTCAACTGAAAGTCCTGCTAAAATGACGACCGCTGTGCCAACGAAACCCGCTGAGACAACCACATTTGTTCCTTCAACCGTAATACCAACAACAGCAAAAGTGCAAGAAGTCACAAAAACCACCACAATCCCTTCGTGGGTGATCGATGAACCGGGCAGCCGGCGGCATAGCAGAGTGAGTGCGGTCAGAGGTGCTGGCGTCTTCTGTATTTGGCTTTTCGCCGGGTGTCTGCTGCTGTGCGTGGCGTCTGCGGCATGTATATTGGCGACTGTGGCGAGGATGGTCATCTGGTACCGGAGGGTGTACAAGCCGCTGAGTATGAGGAGGGGAGGAGGTAGCGAGGGAGTAAGGATGTTAATGTACAGCAGGCAGGAAGAGAAGGAGGTGGCAGGAGGAGGAGTGATGGCGCTGTATCGATCTGTTCTGTTCATCCAGAGAGAGGGAGGAGAAGCTATGGAAGATGTAGGGAAGGAAGGTGAGGAAGGAGGAGGGAAAGAAAGACTCCTAGTCGGTTTGGAGCCGAGTGGAGGAGGAAGCGCAATGAAGGAGGAAGAAGGAGAAAGAGGAGGGAGGGAGGAGAGGGGAGGGAAAGAACGACTCCTTGTCGGTTTGGAGCCGAGTGGAGGAGGAGGCGCATTGAGGGAGGAAGAAGGAGAAAGAGGAGGGAGGGAGGAGAGGGGAGTGTACAGGAAGACATTGTACCGTCTGTTAAGCAAGGAGGAGCAGGTAGAGGGATGGAGGGACGTGAAGGAGGAGTGTTGGGTCCCTGCAGAAGGTGATGGGAGGAGGGGTAAAGATGAAGCGGGCGATAGAGAGAGGAGTGGAGGAGGAGTTTCCAGGAAGTCCTACAGTGTCATTCTGAGGGAGGAGAAGGAGGAGGCAGGCGGGGGGAGAGAGGAGGTGGACTGGGTGGTCGGGGGGTGGGAGGTGAAAAGAGGAGGAGGGGAGGAGGAGCCCCGGAGCAGCTGGGGGGAGTGGCTGGCACATTACCTACCCAGCATGCCCTGGGGTGTGACCACGCCTCCTGAGGGCGGGGCAGCTCTGTGTGTCATTAGTGTTGTTATTATTATTATTATAGTTATATTATTATTATTATATGTAGTATTATATACCGTAAAACTTCCAATAAAAGCAGGGCCCCTAATAGACGCAGGTCTCCAATAGTGGCCTGGTCTGGATTTTATAGAAATGATCTCGATGTATAAAACCCACCAGGTCGCCTGCTTGAGAGAGTTTTAAGTCGTTTTGATCTCCTACTTACACAAATATAAATGTATAGATTTAATGATCATAATGCACATCATTAGATCAGTTATAGATTCTCCACAATTCAATCTTTCACTATATTTTACGATCAACAACAAAGTATAACGTTAATTAAATGGGTAACACGGTAAACAACAGAGACGGGAAAATACCCCTGAAGCATCATAATCATCATGTTAGTTGTCAAATTTACTGAACAAATCTCAAGAGAAGCAGCAGTTAGTTTAGTTTAGTGCTAAAGGAATTAAAGGCCTGTATAGAGGCCTGTCCCCAATAAAGGCAGGGGGAGTTCAGTGATTTAAGCAAATAAACGCCCGGGCTATTATTAGATGTTTTACGGTAATTATTATAGTATTATTATAATTATTAGTGTGACATTTGGATTGTTGAATGTTGGACGATGAGAGGATGAATCTTTATGTACCTGTTCAAACTGCAATAAATCTATTGAATCTTAAAACTAACTGTGGTTAAGTTCTTTGATAGGTTGAATAGATTTGATGAGTCTAACTTCTTAATATTGGTGCATTATTGGCATCCTACCATTAACGAGTGATCAAAGGTTAGACTACACATTAAGTAAAACCTTTTACATTTGAAAATGAGACCTCACAGTTTAAGAGACATTAAATGAATGATGTTAAAATGTGTTAATGTAATTCAAGATACAATTGCAATAAACATTTTTATAGTGAAACCAACCTTCTGTCCAGCCTAGAGATTACTGTCGTTGCACTGACAGTCAAGACTGTCACAGGTGAGTTGCCTACTTCCATATTTATTAAACACATTATTGTATTTCACTAGAATGGTTCTCCTTCAGTCACTTTGTCTCTATGCATCACACCATACTGCATTTTACCTACAGGCCTCGGCCACCAACAGTCCAGCCAAACATTCATCTGTAGATCACAATTTCTGTCACAGCTCATATTCAGACCTATAGATAGCTCCATTTTTTCCACACTGATGGAATAAACTGACAGATTACATACTTTGGTTCATAGTATTCAACTTGTACCTGCTTTTTTTAAAGGTGTAATATTTGAATATAATTTTTTTACCAGATCCAGAGAATAAATGAGGTTGCAGTAAGGAGCAATGTCCACATGGTGGAGCTACAGGATAAACTTAAGACTGGGTTCAGAGCGGCGCTGCAGATAACGGCATCACATCCCCTCTGCGAGGCATCGGCGAGCGCTCTGATCGCCTATTTAACCAGTTCACACACAGCTATTAAAACATGGACTCACTATATCATTTTGTCTCTCTGTGGCCTCCGTACACTCAGGATGAACTGTTATATCTTCACTGATTCTCTAAAAGGGACCAAAGCTTAATGTCACCAAATGGTTGCAGAGTAAGAAATCTTTTGGTAAGGAGCGTAGAAGCAGCTCTCTTCCTTTACTCTCCTTATTGTTTGTGTTGCAGTGCTCTTCCTGTGTGAGTTTACAACAGACCTGCTGTTAGACTCTCAGTAGCTGAATGTCTGACACAACCTGAACGCAACCTAATGGTTTTGATTGCTGGTAAATCATGTGACCTCGGGGAGCAGTGGGTGGAGCCAGAGAGTTTAAAAGCAGCTGAGCAGCAGACACTCTTTACTCTGATCTTCTTCAGGTGCTGGCTCCATGGCTCCAGAGTCTGTGCTGCTTCTGGCTTCATTCACAGCTTCATGGACACTGACAGTGGATGCAGGTACGAGTTCACATTTATACAGCAGCAAGTCGATCTCAATGAAAACAAGAAAAAACATTTTTTGTTAGCGGGAAGGTTCCTAACTGAGTGTAAAACATTCAAAGAGCCGGCAGCTCATGAATACGAATCCTTAAAATGGCCGACACAGGAGGCCGAGTTACTGTTAATATCTCCTCTGTTTGAACTTTAATTTATATATAACCATCGCAGCTGACTGAGCTGCTGCTGAAGCTTCTGAAGCTCTCTGTATAAACATTATTATATTACAATAAAGTTTATACGTCATAGGGTTAGCATTAGCATTAGCCTTCCTCATTTGGCTCCGTTGTGTTGCAGCTTTTATAAATATTAAATATTTGAACTGTTATTTAGTCAGAGGATGAAAGTAAACAACAGAAATATTATAAAGACAATAATGGATTTATGAGTGGTATCCTGTAATGATGTCATATCTTTGTCTGCGTATATATCGCCGACATCAAACACTGTTCACAGATAATATAACCAGATGTGACCCTTGACCTTTTTACATCCAGTGGTTGACTGTATTTTAAGGCTGTTTCTGTGATAAACGGAGCGAAAAATGCAACTTTATGTGAATATAAACTAATACTTCTATACTAACATTTTTCTATTTTCCTTTTTTCTTCATAGATTTTTATTTTCATGTATTCATTTATGGTGCACTCTGTTTGTCTCTCTCCGTTTGTCTGTCTCTGGATGTTTTGTCTCTCAGCAATTCAAAGAAATAACTGAGTCAATCAAAATGAAATAAGATTTTTATTTTTTTTCATATTTCTCTCATTGTTTATGTCCTGATGGATTTGCTGTTGATGTAATAACAATAAAGAACAATAAACCGATACACACGCATGTTGTCAGTTTCTGAAACACTTCAGTTGGGGCATATTATGGGATGTACTGTGGGTTGACCAGAGGGAAGTGTATTTAGAGTTCACGACCCCAGAGTCCTCCAGAGAACGGTCCCTGTAGTCTTCCAGAGACTTTGCATGCTGGGAGGATCTCAATCACTGAACTGAAGTTCCTGATCAAACTGCTCACAATTCAAACACGTGACCCAGCTGCAGGAAGATCGGCGGGCAAAACGGAAGAAGTGAAAATATTATAGTTGGTGTGTGTGTGTGTGTGTGTGTGTGGGAGTGTGTGAGACAGTTCCAGCCTCAGTAACAGTCTTAAATATATGTAACACACTCAAATGTTCAAACATTGTTCTAAAACCAGAAAAACTTCATCCACATTACCTGCAACCCTGCACTGTGTGAGAGAGAGAGACAGGCTATAAGAAGATAATCCACCCCAAATGAATAAATCAATACCTGAATATATGCTCATATAAACAGTGTATGTATAACAGGCGGTGTGATCATAAACGCCCTCTGATTTAGTGCTCATTAGTGTGTGACCTCCTCATTACCTCCATTCTCTCTCTGTGTCTCTCTCTCTCGCTCTCTCTCTCAGACCCCCAGGAGGTCTCCGTGGAGTCTGGCTCGGATGTGACTCTTCCCTGCCGGGCTCCCACAGACCTCTCAGCGGTGAAGTGGAGCAGACCTGAGCTCGGGTCAGACCACTATGTGTTCTTCTACAGGGACGGACGGCTGTACGAGGAGTACCAGCATCCATCTTATCGGGGTCGAGTGTCTCTGAAGGACCCGGGACTGGAGCACGGAGACGCCTCTGTGACCCTGAGGAGCATCTCCTTCAGGGACAATGGGACTTATGAGTGTGTGACGGTGAGCAGCAGAGGGTGCAAGAAGAGGTCCAGTGCGGTCCACCTGAAGGTCTCACACACAGGTGAGTTTGCTCTGTACAGGTAAACCGGGTCGGTACTCCAGGTTAGCAGGGACCCACAGGGTTCCCAGGGTTCAGTGCGGTAACGGCTCTGATATTAATATAAAATAAATATATTCACTTTTATTATTTTA